AGTCACCAGGTCTTACTGCAAGGCTTTTTTTCCTTTTTCCTCGCCATTGCCACAACAATCTAGCATTCATGTTCATTCTGTGGAAAGAAAACTTGAAGGGCTTGATTCAGTTTGATTGGCTCATCTTAATCAGCACTGCCTGCAGGCAAGTGACCTGAGCTCTCTGGGCTTCAGTTCACTCATCTTTTAGATGGGAATACTAATACCCACTTGTTAGTTTTTCTGATTAAATGAGTAAATATATTTAAAATGCTTACAATATCTGACACATGCAAGCATTTAATAAATGCTAGTTTTTATCAATTCGCATATCATGCCAGAGTCCTTACATAGGAATACAAGTGTTGAAAATAGTCTATATTACTTTCCATTTTATGGTCAGAAGGCAGTACTTAGGTTCCCTGTGACAATTTAGGCTGTTTTGAGAGGTCTATTTTGGATGAAGTCCTTTGCAAATATTTTTTATCCAGTCTGTAGTTTGTCTTTTCATTCTCTTAATGGTGTCTTTCACTGAGCAAGTTTCACATTTTGATCAAGTTCAATTTATCATTTTTTTCCTTTAAGGATCATGCTTCTGGTGTCATGTCTAAGAATTCTTTGCTTAAATTCAGCTCATGAAGATTTTTCTCCTATGTTTTCTTCTAACAGTGTTTTAGTCTTATGTTTTACATTTAGATCTATGATACATTTTGTGTCAATTTTTGTAAAAGGTGTGAAGTTAGTCTTTCCTATCATCACTTGCAAATGTTGATGTTGATCTGTAATAAGATGTTACATATTTCATATTTTGAAATACCTTTTCACAGACAGGTACTCAAGTACTGGTATCAATCACATGCATGTGACTTTTTTAATTTTCTTTTTAAAACTATTTCAACATAACTATGCTTACAGAAATATACTCATATTGTTTAATAGAATGCAATTTGTTTAACTTGTCCTACACAATTTGGACCAAAAACTTGCTACACAGTTTAAGATTTTTTTTTAAAAAAAGGTTTTGCAATCTTGTTACATGCATGTGACTTTAATTGATATTTATTATTGTCATTACATTGCAGTTAGTCACCTTCTGCTGAAAGATAGGTAGAAGCACTGCAATCTTAGATTTTGAAATATGGAAATTTCCTTTATACTTGTATTTAGGTCTAAAAGCACTGCTGGAAGTATAGTGTGAGGTTGGAAAATATATCTATGGAAAATATATCTGTGTGGGTATTAAGATCTCATTTCTTGTTTTACCTTTTCACAGAAGTATATAAAGCAACCTAACACTTCTTGTGACTCAAGTGTTAGTTGTCATCAAACAACATCAAAATGACTTTACAGTCATGTTTCAAACTTAAGTGGTGTTTTGACTTGTAATTCTAAGTTGAATTCATTGACTTAAATTCATGAAGAAACATCAAGTATGCAACAAAAGCTAATTTCTGAAGCCATTCGGTGTTCAATGATAATGGCTGAGGGAGGTTCCTCTCATTCAGAAATTTTTAATCTTGGCCCTGCACTCAGAATGTCTCAATAAAACATTATCACTGCTAAGCCATCAAACTACAGTGTGGTACGGCATCAGGATATTCAGCTTCTATTTCTGTCAAAAACTTTTGGAACTGATAATGGCTAAGTCCATGTGAATAAATGAAGTACACTGGTGACAATTTTGGTTCAATAAAACATGATAGATTCAGGTATTTTCTGAAAAGTATCTGCTGGTGAATAATACAATAAATAACAATAGCCTCCAAACACCTTATATTTTCACAAACTGTAATTAGTCCAACTAAACCTTTTTCTGCTCCACATTTTTACCACCATCAGTTGTGGCACATCCTGGCAGATTCCACTTCAGCTTGTACTGAATTTCTTAACTTTGAAAACACTTTCCCTTATAAGTGCTCCACGTAAACTATTCAGAGGCTCTTTTTCTGCTCCACATTTTTACCACCATCAGTTGTGGCACATCCTGGCAGATTCCACTTCAACTTGTACTGAATTTCTTAACTTTGAAAACACTTTCCCTTATAAGTGCTCCACGTAAACTATTCAGAGGCCAATTCTTCAGTCACTTCTAGGGTGACACTGTCCTATTTTCCTGGGACCAAGGTTCCCAGAATGCAGGACTTCCAGTGTTAAAACCAGAAAGACTCTAAGCAAAATGGGATGAGTTGGTCACCCTGGCATTTCAAACTTAAGGCACTGACTGCTTGAATAATCAACTGAGCAGTTAACATCTGCTAACTCATCAAGAGCCAAGGAAAAACATTTCAAATCATTTCTAAATTGACTGTTGATGTTGCTTCCTTAACTCTTCAAGCAGTTGTTCTTGCTGAAGTGCTAATAATCTTAAAAAGTTTACTTTCTCTGAACACATTTCTTTGGCTGCTGCAACCAAACACAATTTAATTACCTCATTATTGGTAAATGGCTTTCCTTGCTTGGCTAACAAGTAAGCTACTTGGAAATTTAAAGCTTCATTTTCATTTGTAACTTTTGTCAAGAAATTGAATGCTGACATGTTCTATTTTAAATATCTGTTTCATAGCTTTCCTGTCAGTTGGGACTAATGTGATGAATGCTTAGTATGGTAATCTGACATACAATATATATTGTATTCTTCTAGCACAGTTGGAGCATCACTGCAAAAATAAGCACAATGCATTACCATCTAATTTGATAAAAACCACATAAAATTCATGAATGCTTAGTATGGTAATCTGACATACAATATATATTGTATTCTTCTAGCACAGTTGGAGCGTCACTGCAAAAATAAGCACAATGCATTACCATCTAATTTGATAAAAACCACATAAAATTCATGATACTATGTAGGTGCATGAGTTAAAACTGCATCCCTGTAACTTGTAGTGCACCCAGCAGTGCTAAGCAGAGAACCACTGTCACAACTGAGCAACGCTAACAATAAATGTGGCTGCATGACAGCATACCTTAACGGACACTAAAGTTTGGATTCTATTATCATTTTCTTGTGTCATGAAGTATTTTCCACCTGACCACTTAAAAATGTAAAACAAAACTGGGCAGTAGGTCTGACTTAGCTTGCAGGCTATATAGTTTGCCACCATGTGTTCCACAGGATGACCCATGATGTAGTTAGATTTGGGCCATTTGATTATTTCTGCCAACTGAAAGTAGAAATGATACGTAACACTCCTGGACAAAGGATAGCAGTGTGCAACATGGTCATTGCACAGAGGACAGCTGCCGTAAGTTGTCTAACTTGAGTCAGTCTGAACAAGAAACACCTTTGCCATACTAAAGAGAGGTTTTGGAATCATTAGCACAGCATATGAATTTTTCAAATCTCATACCATGAATCAGCCAATTTCCAGTCATAGTGATCAGTTGCTTTAGATATGGCCACACTGTATTCCAAACAATGCTAGTAATAGAAGAAAACCCAATTTTGAACTTGTCACGTTTATTCATTTGCCATTTGTTCACCATTCAAATGCCATTTCTGTGGCATTTATTCAATTGCCACTCCAATTTGCAGCTCGTGAAATGTCTGGCTCCAAGTGAAACTCATCCCTTTTTTTTCCCTTGCAGGTTTTTGCTCTGATTATATATAATAGCAACACATACTTGTACCAATTTTTAAAACTAGGAAAGGAAAAATAATCTGTAACTCCACATTAGTATTTTGATGTCTTCTCATTTTAAAAAAATGCATTTTTACAGTTGTGATCACACCAATTGCATGACTTTGAGTTGTACCCTTTTTTCACCTTATATGCTCCATATTACTTAAATAAACCTTTCATAAGTAGTTTATTAGTTGAGGAGGCTTCTATTCCAGATTCCAAACTGTCTCCTACAAAACCTGAAAATAAAACCCATGCCACTTTGATGATTTTCTTCTGAAAGATCCTAATCTAGTCCACAGGAAGATGTTCTTTGTAATCTTGTAACTTCAACTCTGTTTCTTGTAAAAATGTCCATGGCCATGACATGGAATCACCCCTTCCCTTCTCCAGGTTACACTACAAAATTCCCTTACACGTTAAGTGCTGATGAATTGTAGCATACCTAAGTGGAGTGGGTAGATGGTAGTTTGGGAAAGAGGAAATACTCAGTTCATCTTGCCATGTACATGTATGTGTTTGAATGCACATGACCCTTGAGATAAAACATGACAGACATGTTTCTGTGTGGAGAAGTTCATCTGATGCTTTCCTAGAAGGGGAAACCAGAGAGATGTTCAGACTCACAAAGTTCACAAACAGTTCATAAAGGGAGGCATGTGTTCAATAAATACATACAAAGTATTAAAAAACTTCTAGGTATCAGGAAATATTCTGAAGGCATAATCCACTCTTCACATACACTTAGCTCAGAATCTTATATTTAAAAGATTTAATAATGGATAAAAAAAAAGCTTGGTAGCAATGGATGTTTTTAACAAATTTGGTTTAACTAACACAAAAGCACATTTAAAGAGCATCAGAAACTTGATGGTCAAGCAAGATTGGTGGTCTTTATTTGGTGGTAACAAAAAAGGTTGCAGTTTAGTACTGAACTGTGCAGTTAATGGTGATCCTTCTATCCAGGCAGAGTAACTAAGGAGAGCTATAAAATCTAACAACAACAAAAACCAAACTAGAGATTAGGATAAACAGCGTTGAGTCCAGCCGACTACAAGCTGGTATGCACACCTGTGTTTCAGCAAGGGCAGGCAAGCCAAAATAACAAATTGCTTTCCTATTAACTTGAGTGAATGGTATGTTTTTCCTCCAAAGATCTTGTCAATGGTTATGTTTCATTGTACCTAGTAAAATATGAAGTCATCCCTTATGACAAAATCACATTTTTCATAACAAATATTGTACATAATACACTCAGATTGCTTTCCTATTAACTTGAGTGAATGGTATGTTTTTCCTCCAAAGATCTTGTCAATGGTTGTGTTTCATTGTACCTAGTAAAATATGAAGTCATCCCTTATGACAAAATCACATTTTTCATAACAAATATTGTACATAATACACTCAGTCACTGATTGCTTTTTCGTCGTCTTTTTTTCCCTGAACGTTCACGTGTTTGAGTCTCTTGTATTTCTTCTTTTACACTGGATACAGGCTGTTTGAAAACTACTTCATTATCTTTATCATCGTCGTTTATTTCAGCCACTTCAGACTGTCGTTTCTCCAAAAATGTTGGTGTACAAACTGGTGTGGGACCCTGGATTCAACAAATAAAAGTTTATAATACATAAAAATGTTACAATATTAGATATGACTTTACACCAAAATATCACCTCCCTTCCACTTTTATAAGTCATTCTGTGTTATTTTAGGCCCGTTTCCATCTTTTGGTGATACAATTGCAGATAATAAAGAGCGTAGGTGTTTATCAAACTTAGTACAGAAATTCACAATTAATTGGAATGTAATACGCTCCCTTATAAGATTTTAGATAGAAAACTGCTAAATCACCAGTAAAGATCTACCAAAAACATCGTAAGATTAGATTTGAAATCTTAAAATGACATTAAGCAGAAACTGCTTTTCCTCCTTCAAATTATTTCTATACCTAGTGCCCAGAATATCGAAGACAATTTTACCTGGCTATCCATAGTCTTCTCAGGAGTGTTAGCAGTGCCTAAAACTTTCTTCTTCTTCTTCTTCTTCTTCTTTTTAGGTAAAACCTTCAAATACATTTTTAAAGATTTTATCAATCTGCGTATTTATCAGCTATAGTAGTTTTGAATATATTTTCCTATTTATCTTTCTTGGATGTCTAGCAAGTAATATGACAAAGAAAACCTTACCTGGCTATTTGCAGACTTCTGAAGATCAGTGTTTGAAACTTTTTCCTTTTTCCGTAAAATCTTAAATAAACAGAAGTTATCAATTTGCGGTTTCACATCTTTACTTACTTTTTACTTACCATTGGATCCTCATATATATTATGAGCAAATCCTCCCTAAATGACAGAGCATTTCAATTTAAAAAGTAAAACCCACAAATACAGTGAGTAGTCTTAAATAAAGGGCAAAACTAGAAGAGGACCCTAACTGAGGAACTGGCAGAAGCCACTGAGGTTGAGAGAAGGCCAAAACCTGGAGCTCACTGATTCATAGAATCCTGAATTCAGGAAGGTGGAACTAGGAAGAATATGAAAAGTCAGGGCCTGGAGGCCTGTCTGAGCTAAGTTCAGCATTATGGCAACGAAGCCACCTGCTTTCCCACTAAGTAACAGGGTACAGGAAAAGTAGCAATTTCGTGCCGGTTTTTAAGTTTCACTGTTCCAGCTCCCAAATGGTTCATGAGTATACCAGGGCCTAAGGCCTCAACATAATGCTCCAGTACTGGTGTTTGGGATTTGGGCAAAGAATTAACAATGAGGAACTGGGCCAAAGGAGGATAACTCAGTCTTCTACTTTCTGAATGAGGTTAAAAGACCTAATAAATTTGGGATTAGAGGCCATTTCTTTTTTTTTTTCCTTTTTGTCTTTTTTTGTGACCGGCAACGAATTGCAACCCTCAGTGTTGCGCCCGTACCGGACCGGGACCAGCAACGGGATCGCAACCCTT